GAACCGGCCCGGGCACGGGGCCCGGAGCGAGCGGGGCCGGACCGGGCCCGAACCGGCCCGGACACCCGGCCCGGAGCGAGCGGGCCCGAACCGGGCCGGGCACCCGGCCCGGAGCGAGCCCGTGCGGCTCGGACGCCCAGAGGAGGGGCTCCGGGGCTGGCGGGCCGGGCCCGGCTGAGGGCTGGGGCGGGCGAGGAGCCGGTGCCGGCGGGGAGCGGGGCGGAGAGCGCGGCAGAAGCTGCGGGGATCGCGCCTTGAGCTCCGCGGCGCGGCGGGGCGGAGGCACAGCGGCAGCTCGGGCTGGAGCGAGCCAAGGGCAGGTAGCGAACCAGGGACAGCGGCTGCAGCCCTGCGTGCGACTCGGGGGTTTCGGTGTGGAACTGCTTGGGCTCCCTGCCACCGGTTTAAAACGTTGCACAGAATGGGAGAGAAGAGTCAGTGGAAATGGAAGTACCGCGAGTGTTGTCCACACGTGGAAAGATAAAATGTGGTTTAGGGAAAGAAAGTTTGTCTGACAGTTTGACTGTGATGGCAACAGCAGGAGTGGAATGAAATGAGTGGCTAAAATTTGGTGTCTAATTAGATCCTGCGGATGTGATGAATATAAAGATGAAAGGCTAACCCACGTGTGGTTGGAAAAAGGAGATTCCCCCACTGGTGTTCCTTCTTGGGAAGGGATTTCAGCATCTGAGTCAACTGATGAATGCTTAGAACCATGTACTTGGACTTTCCAGGAATTGAACTCCGGTGCAACTCGACAAGTTAATGAAGGAGGTGGTGTTGTCATACCAAATGTAAGAATAGCCTTAGGACAAACGTGCCTCAGCTGTGAAATGGAAGCCGTGGATGGGTGGGGACCTGCTGCTCCCCACACCTTGGCTCAGTCCCTGGCTGAGCCCAAAGCCCTGTGTCACCTTTGCTTCCAGGGTCCCTGCTGACACACAGGGGACATGGCAGGGACAGGGTGCTGCTGGCCTGCCTGCCTGGGTGGTTCCACGTGGCAGGAGGATCTTGATACCATGACAGCCACTGGTGGGGGTGGAGGACTGGCAGGACACAGCTGCAGCAGTGGCACCGTCTGAATGCACTGCTGGGGGAGGAGGTGATTGCTGGTGTGGTGTGCAGTTGTTCTAAGGAAAATCAAGCTGCAGTGACCATCTGTGTGCTCGTGGTTACAACGGGCTGCCAGGGAGCCTCTGGTTCCAGGAGCTCTCCAGTGTGACAGAGAAATCCTGGGGAGTTCAGGGCAGGCCACAGAAAGGCTCTGGCTCTGGAAAACAAGCCTGAATAAGATCAGCTTGTTCAGGCACATTGAAGAGAAGAGAGCTGAGGAGTGACTCAGGCACTCTGGAAATCCATGCCTGTGGGAAGTTCTCCCACAGCTGGCTGCTGTCAGCCTTCCCAAAGCACGCAGCAGGCTCTGGGAACTGAGGCACAGCAACACAAATTGTGCTCAATGGCACCCAGTTTCCCAGCAGTGCTGGAGGGTGACTACAGGAGGAGCTGGGGCAGAGGGGAAGGCCTGGCAGTGTTGGGAGCTGCTCAGCTGAAGGCTCTCAAGGCTGAAGGTGTGCTCAGAGCAGACTCCTGGGCAGCCTCAGGGCCAGGCCAGTTTGGGCAGGCAGTAGGGCAGAAACAATCAAATTTTAACATCTGGAGCAAAAGCAGCAAAATGCATCTTCTGGAATGTAACTGCTCCATCAGAAAAGCTCTGTCTGGAGTTGTGAGGCAACAGTGCTGCCTGTAGGAATGCTGCCACTGACCTGCACAGGGCTGGCCAGGTGGTTGCAGTTCAGCAGTGAGCACATTCCCTCTGGTGGGGCAGAGGAGATGCTGCTCACACAGAGCCTGCAGACACAGAAGGACCAAACTGAACACTTCAAATTGCTCTTTTCCACTGCAAACAGCAGCTGGCACACCTGGAACAAGTGCAACTTGTGGGATTGTCCCGAGGCAGCGTGGACAGAGGTGAGAGGCAGCAGGGACAGCTGCCTGTGCTGGCAGTTCCCAGCTCTGGGGTGGTGCAGAGGGATCCTCACACAGAAGTGGAGTCCACAGAGGCTCAGTTATATTCAGACAACCAAAGCTGCTGCTCCTGGAATAGATAATTTACCCAAATGTGCATTAAATAACTTGCTGATGTGTGCAGTGATGTAACCTGGGAAGAGGGAATGACATATCCCTCTGGGCTAATCACAAACACATTTTATTGGAATTAAGAGTATTTTTCTGAACCAGGTTTTAGTAATTTAATTCAAAAGCTAATTACTGAATCTGTGTAATATGTCTTTAAATAAAATTTTTTTTTTAGCTCTCTGAGGATTCTTGGTGCTCTGGCAGCCTCCTCAAGCAGCTCCCTTGGTAACCAGGGGCACTGGAGGGAGGGCTGGTCACTAGGAACTGAGGAGCAGGAACAGGACACATGCCAAGGGCTGAACATCCTGCAGATTCACATGTTCTTCCCTCATCTGAACGAAAGTGTAATAAATTGATGCAGTGTTGGAGGAATTATGGCAGATTTCAGTGATAAATGCCTGAAAAAATCTTGCAGAAAAATGAAAGAAGGGGGTGTGTATAAGTGGGATATTGGAAGTCTGGAAAGCTGTTTTCCCAGAGGATAAAAGGCTTTGACTCTCTAGGAATACATGTGGACATTTGGTGTTGCAATGTGACCAAGTGGCATTAACTGGGGCCTGGCAGGTGAGAGCCTTATCCAGGTGTTTGAGGTCAGGAGCAGCGTGTCCTTTTCCCACCTGTGCTGACTGAACTCCGAAACCTGGGGCAAATCCTGCTTTGTGGGCTGCCGCTGGGAATCAGGCAATAAACCCTGGGAATCAGGCAATAAACCCTGCTTGTGTCATTACCAGCTTATTCAGTCTCAGCTTTGCTGCTCCTCTGGGCTGTGCTCTGGGCACAGCCCCTCCTGCTGGCTCTGAACAGACCTGTTTGAGGCAATTGCTTCTGTCAAAGGCATTTCTACAGAAGAAAAAAAATTCATGCGTTGCTAATTCTTACAGAATAATTCTCCTTGGAGATTCTTCTGCAGTGAATAGGTGGAAATGCAGGTAAAGAAAGATGAAGTGTTTTGGAATCTGATCAGACCAGGAGCAGTTACAAACTCTTCCAACTTCTGTCTGATCACCTGTAACACGTGAGGAGTCTGTGCCTTCTCTGACCCTATGGACAAGGTTGTGTATCCTTGTACCTGCCACTCTGTGAATGTGAAGAAGGAATTCGCTAATGAAGAAAAAGGAGATATAAATAAGAAGAATGGAAGAATTAAGCAAAGGAAAAAATGCCGAATTTCTGTTGTGTAAACATTTGAACAGTAACAGCCCAGAAACCAATTTGAAACTGCCATAGCACAGATGGTTCCTGTTGGTGTCCTGCTCTGGGGCTGCTGTTCCTGCAGGCCATACCTGCCCCTACTTGTTGTGGTAGCAACTGACATTAAAAATGCATCAAAGCCTCTTTTTCTTGTGATAATACAGCAGCCAAATTCTCTGCCCAGTGCTTCAGCCCATCTCTGAGTCTGTCTGGGAGAGCAAAGCCACAGGTGTGTTTGCACAGGGAGCTCTGGCTGCTGTGCCATCGCTGGGCTGGGCATTGCTGTGATCCTTGTCCCATGCTGCTGAGCCAGGGCAGGACACTCCAGCTCTACATGGACTTAATGCCTTTAAAAAATTTCTTCTTTATTACATCTCCAGCTCTGCCAAGGGTATGGCCACATTTCATGTAAAATCTAAATGTGTGGCTGCTGTCATTTTAGACTTTTGATTAATTTAATGCTTTTTCTTTTTTTGCTTATTCAATGGTTTGTGATACCCACACAATGTGATTTATTCTTGGCTGTTGCTCATCTTGCCTTCAAAAGCAGAGTGCCTAACAATGCATTACCCTTACAGCTCTGCACACAGCTGTGGTTCACTTACTCATTTCAGGGATTAATTTCCTCTTGCATTTTTTTACACTTTTTACTCCGCTGAATAGGATGCAGGTCTGGTTCAAAAGAGACTGTCTAATCATTTTTGATTTTACACCAATTCACTGAGCCTTGTTTGGGTTACATGTTCATGAGAGAAAAGTCTCTTTTTCAAAACAGCCAGGACACTGTCTGCCCACTGCTGATCTTTGTAATGCCAAACTCTGCCTGAATCTCCTCAAGGAATAAGCTGTTTTGTCAGGCTGGAGTGTAGCAGTGCTTGAGGAATGTTTGAACACGTGAGCGAGCACACAGGAGGGACTCAGCACTGCTTGGGAAGCGCTGGCTCTATCAAACTGCTCCACGTGGGTTCCTTGGGTTATGCAATTGCCTGTAGAGTTTTGGAAGATATTCCTTGGGGACTTGAATGTCCCAGTGTTAGAAGCTAAAAGGAAGTTAGTTTGGCTGTTAGAGAAGGGCAGTGCAGTTGGGCTGTACAAGCTCAAGCTACAGTTTCAGCTGGAGCAGGGCAGGTTTTTGTTACCTGTGCAGCTGAGGGTGGCCTCCAGGGCTGTTTGTGAGCAGTGGTGGCCACTGGGCCATTGCAGGCATGGAGTGGAGCTTTCCTGGACGTGCTGTGCTTGTCGAAGTGGATAATCTGTGTGGGTCAGGGTGTTGGTTCCCTGCATGTTTCATCGCATTGGTAAGGTGTTCTTAGTCTTTGGTGACCCAAATGGAACCACAGAATCCCTTGAGCTGGGAGGGACCCACCAGGATTGCCCAGCCCTGTCCCTGCCCAGATCCCCCACCAACCCCACCCTGGGCATCCCTGGCAGCGCTGGCCAAAGGCTCCTGGAGCTCTGGCAGCCTCGGGGCCGTGCCCATTCCCTGGGGAGCCTGGGCAGTGCCAGCACCCTCTGGGGGAAGAGCCTTGCCCTGAGCTCCAGCCTGAGCTGCCCTGGCCCAGCCCCAGCCGTGCCCTGGCTCCTGTCCCTGTCCCAGAGCAGGGATGGGAGCTGCCCCTCCACTGCCCCCTGGGAGCTGCAGATTTCTCTGAGGTCTCCCCTCACTGCACCTCATGATCTTAACATTACAGTAAAAGTGCTTAGCAAGAAGTAAAGAACTAGGCAAGTATACGAGATGGGTTCAAGGAAGAATGTGCTGCCTGCCAGGTCTGTGTCCCAGCCTGCATTAGCCAGGTGCCTGCTGGGGCTGTGGGGCTGAGCTGTTGAGTTGCCAGGTGTCCAAGTGCTCACAGGCCTGTTTGCTTCCTCGCAGCTCCTGGTGGCAGCAGGGTCCCCCCGACATCGCCCAGCAGTGACGCCTCCACTGTCCTCCCTCGGGGTGAGTTTGCCACTTGGGCTGAGCTTGCCAGGTCTGTTCAGAGGCTTCTGACACACATCTGGCAGGATGAGGGCAGCGCAGCTTCAGGAACTTCTACCCCTCTCTGTTCTGTCTTGTAGGAGCTTGGAAAATGCTCATTTGCACCTTCTGCTCCCAGCTGGAGTGTTGAGTGGGATCCCCCCTGAGTGGGATGCCTTGGTGCAGGGGGGAGGGAGGGGACAGGAGCTGCACTGGAGCTGCTGTGACTCTGCTGAGCCCACACTGAGCAGCTGTGCTCTCCTGGCACAGCTGTAGGTACAGCTTCAAGGGCAAGGAACAGCCCTATTCTGACAGTGTGATGCTGAGATTATTTAAGTGAATTTCTGTTCTGAGGATCAGCATGGACTTTGTGTCTCAATAAGAACTTTTCTGGTTTGCAGGGTGCTTTATTAGTGTACATAGGTGGGTGAAAGGGAACTGGGCAATAAACCATGTGTCTGCTGTATGAAATTGTAGCCAGTCCTGTTCCACCACTGCAGCCTGTGTGACCACTCTTGGGTGCAGACCAAATAGTCAGTATTTTATGGTACACCAGTGTATTAAGCAACATATTCAAGGAAATTCCATTTCGATTTGTGAACTTCATTGATTTTATTCACTTATTTTTGTAAAGTTTGATTTAACTACATCATATGTTGAAAAGTTACCTACCAATTCCTTACAGATTGTGTAAAATTCAGTTTATCTCAAAAAGTTGTACTGGGTTAACTTTCATCTTACTCAGTATCCTTTTTTCTCTTGGAATGGGAGAACTGTGAATTTTTCCATTTTTCTCTATAGTCCTGCTGCCTACTGAGGTGTTTACCAACGAGGGCTTGCACAGTGCAGGGCAGTATAAAATATCTGTGCAGGAGCAGTCACCAGATAGTGTCTGTCATCTGCTTTCCCATTTTCAAGTGGAGACAAGGCTCATTTGGGCCGTTCCTGGTGTCCCTGTGTGTGTGAAGTGCAGCGGCAGCCTCGTTAGAGGGCACTCTGGAATCACCCAGGGAGCCGAGCAGCCACATTCCCCTGCAGCTCCCCAGAGAAATCCTGCTGCAAACGCCCTTGGCCCCCAAGCAGAAAGTGGGAATCTGGAGCTGGATTACCCTGGGTACCGGTGATCCAAGGCAGGACTGCCTGTGCTGCTCATTTCATGCTTGTGCTCTATATGGAATATAGCAACAATTTATTAGAGAATTCACTGCAGTTTTCCAAATGTGAATTAATGAACTTGCTTTTCTCATGGCCTTTACCCCATAAACTGCCCTGATCCTAAATCTGTATCCATTTGGATATTGTTTTTTGGTTGCTATTGTCTTTAAAAAGTAAATCCTTGATAAAAATATAAGATGCTTCAGAAACTCTTAGGTTTTAGTACCAGCCCTTTCAACAGCTCTGTGTCTTTGACAAAGTTTGTTGTGTCTCCTTTCACTTTCCTTGGGTCAGAAAGAGGATAACGATTTTTACCTTGGGTGAATTAATCAATATATATAAATGTGCTTTGAAATCTGAAGTGGTTTAGAATTTTTTTTAACTATAACTAAAATATTGAACAAAACAGGAGTCAGAGAAGTCAAATTTAAGACCATGATTATTATTCAACTGCTTTCATGGCATTTCTGTTCTGGCAAGATTATAGAGCCAGATCATTTGCATTACTTTTGATTTCCTGATGTTTTTCGTTTTTTGTTGAAGGAACAGCATATTTATATGCAGGAGTCAGATTGTCTGTAAACACAAACATAATCTCACCTTTGTCCAAACATACCTTGTTTTGCTTTTACAAAACCAAACCAAACCGGTGGGACCCAGAATTGCTCACTCGGAGCAATTAGCACTGACTCATGCCCAGCCTGGGGAGCCTGGGGGAGCCGGGCGGTGTTTGCTGGGCTGGAGCTCCCTGCAGGGCAGAGCTGGGCTCGGGGTACTGCGGGAGCTGCCCGTGGTGCCTGGGTGCTGTTCCTGCTCCGGGGGCTCCTGTCCTCTCCAGGATGGGTGGTGTGACAGGGCAGGGACAGCTGTGCACAGAGCCAGCTGACTGAGCAGCTCCTCCCCGAGTGCCATGCGTGCCCTGCCAGGCAGCTGTACTGCGAGGGGCAGCTGTACTGCCCACAGGGCAAGGCAGTAAACACTGACACGGGAGTGTTCTTTACTGCCCACAGGGCAAGGCAGTAAACACTGACACGGGAGTGTTTCTTTACTGCCCACAGGGCAAGGCAGTAAACACTGACACGGGAGTGTTTCTTTGCTGTCCACAGGGCAAGGCAGTAAACACTGACACGGGAGCGTTTCTTTGCTGTCCACAGGGCAAGGCAGTAAACACTGACACGGGAGTGTTTATCAAAGCAGGTTTTGTGCTTTGGCCAGGAGGCAGCACTTGCCTTGGAGTCCTGAATCACTGTGCCAGGCTTCTATGAACTCTGTCGGCCACAAGACTTCATTCAAAGCAGAATAATAAGAAAAAGTCCTGGTCAGACCTACTTTTTCCTCTCCTAGATTTTAATCTCCTCTTGCACTTTCCCTGTCTGTCCCTCCAGAACTTTCCATCCCCTCGGCAGCTTTTTGGCAAAGAGGGATTGCCTGCTCAGGCCTTCTCCAGCACCCCTGTGTGGGAGAGCACAGGAGGAGGCAGCAGGAGCTGCCTGAGCCCCATGGGTGGCTGCAGGTGTGTGGGAAGCAGCACCTGGGAGATCCTGCAGCCTGTGAGGCAGCTGCTGGCACAGGGTGGCAGCCCCTGCGGGCAGGTCTGGGCACCCTGGCAGAGCAGCCCTGGGACAAGGCAGGCACCCTGCACTCCCAGCTCCTACTGCTCTCCTGGAGGGTGGCACAGCTGCTCTGGGCAGGGGACAGGGCAGCCCAGAGCTGATCCAGGCTGATATGTGCCCCTGGATCCTTTGAAGGAGTTGGGAATACAACAGCAGACAGGCAGGCTGGGATGGCCTCCCAGTGACTGCATCAGCTGGAATTCCTGAGGAACCTTTTATTTGTCTGGCTGGCAAATGGATTTTAAGGTGGAGTGGAATACACAGGGACTCCACTGGCAGAGATAAAAACAGTTGCTGTGCTTAAAGTATCTCGGCTGTGCGACTGGAGATTGTGGTTTTTAATGGGTTTGAAGAGTGTTTCTTGTACTTTTGTTATTTCTGTAAGTTTAGGACTGACACTGGATGGCAGAGGTTTCAGCCAAAGTCTTCACCCCTTCAGTGTTATCCTCCATCCCATATGCAGATCCCTCTTGTGCTTTACCACAGTTTGGATGTTCTAAAAATTCATGGTAATCCAGGAGCCAGGGACATTTCAGATCACGTCTGAAGAGGAGCTCTACCTTGCTTGTAGGAAACACTTTCTGCCACTTTTGAGTAATATCTCCTCACAGAACGTTTCTGTGGAGCTGAAAGTTTTGTTTTATGGTGACGGTGATTTGGTTTTTGTCACAGTTTGAAGACAGCTGTGTTGTGTGGTGACAAGTTTGCCTGAGTTGGCCAATGCCATCCCCACAGCACAATGTGTTAAGTGGAATTGTTAGATGCTTTAGCTCTGAAATCAGCTCCAGGTACAAATTAGATTTTTATTATGCAGTACTTAGACCCATCTATAGTTACAGTTCAGTGTTGTACTTAAGTTCTGCCAAGGCTGATTTTGGCTCTGGAGGCCAGAGCTGATTCTGGGCAGTGTTTTGGGGCTGGTGGTGTGGCTGGGGTTTCTGAGCCCCTCCCTGCTGTTCACCTGCCCCAGAGTGATGTTCTGACTGGGCACGTTCTTGTACTGGGCTCAGAAGCCACTGTGGGACAATTTGTGTGTGATAGGGGAAGGCAGCAATAATGCAGAAAAAAAAGTTAAAAAGCCCCAGCTGATAGAGGTTAAGGGAACAAATATAACTGTAAAAGCACATGAGAGAAGCATAACAGGGAAAGCTTAAATTTTGGGCAGTTTTCTGCCTAATGTAATGATGTAATGGAGCAAGAACCACTTTTTCCTTCCATTTTTCTTCTCTTATTTCTGTAGGAGCCCAATGGTGCTGTCTGGCTGACTTGTCAGAGGTTTAAGCACCAAAAGTAACCATTTTTAAGTAAAGCAAATGCAAAACTTTGGGTATATGTTTAAAACTCAACAGAAAATGAACAAACAGAAAATATCGAATATGGAGAAAGTCTTTGTGTACAATGTCCAGAGCAATTTTAAAATATTCTCGTTCCATGCCTAAATAAATGGTTGTTTCAGCCAAAGAGAAATCTTTCCTCATGATTTATTACACTAATCTGGATATAAGGCCTCTGAGCAGGATTGTCAGTTTATTAGAATAGCTTTCTTCTCTTTTCAGATTTAATCCACATGTTGTTGTATCAACAGAGCCTTTGCTCAGTTATGAGTTATCCTTTTTTAATAATAATAAAAAAGTGAAAACACATGTTTTTTAATGGCCTTATTACAAAGAAACCTAGGATGACATAGGGAGAGGTGATCATCGAATGATGACTCTGATTTGTAACTTCAGAGTGATAAAAGGGTGAAAAATGGCCCTTTCCCTCTGCCTGGGGCAAGCCTGGCAGGGACAGGAGGAGGCAGCATTATCTTTGGCCAGGGTTTCCTATGTTTTTTCCCCAGCTTGTGCAGTGGTGCTAAACATGCTCTTTTTAGTTAACTCTAATTTCCTTCCTTTTTTTTAAAGGCAAATATATCTAGAGGTGTATGTAATTCACATTTCCTTCCTTCCTGTCTTCCTCCCCTGTAGAGAAGTTCTTTCTTGGACCCCTCCTGTTTCCTAAATGGAGAGGAATTACTCTCAGGAAACTCATGACTTTGGTATTATTCCTATACTTGGTTTTGTGAGAAAGCATTTAGTTTGAGTGTAAATGCTTACTTGATACCTGCATGAGGGTTCAGAAGTGCACATGAGAGCTGCTCAGTGAAGCAGCTCACTACATCACACGATGATAACCTTTGCTTGGCCCTGTCACCCCACAGTCCTGCAGCATCAG